GTCATGATTATTATATGTGATTTATCGTTATTCTAGTTTAGTAATATATCGAATATTATTTAATATATAAATTAATTATCATCAAGCCATCAGGCCCTGATTGAATAATAATTATAATCTTGAATTATTAAATTCTGCATAGGGAATAAGAATACGAAGATTAAATACTGAAGTAATAACAAAAATTAAGATTATCAAATGATGTCAGTAATTATAACTATCCTAATTTTCAAAATAATCAAGAAACCCGCTATTTCAAAGAAATTCTTAATATTCCGCAGAAAGCTAATTATTTTAATTGTTCATCAGAATTATTTATTTTTTTATTTCTTATTCTTATATCTATTTTATTTTCTCAAAATTTTTTTAAATCGACCTCAATCTTAAACTTTCCTCAATGTTTACAAAATGATTTATGTGTGTATTATGTATAATGATTAATAATTATAATATTTTAAACATTCCAACTTCTATACATATATGTTGTATATAATGTATTATACTTAAATTATTTGTTGTAATTAATATTTGCTAAATTTTATGAAATAAGTACATTTGATACAGTTGTAAAATAAGTTTGCAAAATTACGTATTTTTTAATTTTATTATTGATTTATTGTTATTCTAGTTTATAAATAAAAAGAAATATTTTTATTTTAGTTTATAAATATTCGAAATAAAAATTTTAAATTGGAGTTTCAATACAATCTTGTTCAAAATACATTGCTAAGTAGTACGTGCTTCGGATAAATTAGCTTATGTAGGACAATAGAATGGTGACAATGCGTCGAAAAATAACATAGAAAGGATAACAATTATTCCGGTGTAAATATCAGGTCACTGCTATTTTACCGTTATCCTTAAAATGATTGTCATACCCTACGTCTCTATTATTTTATCTCACTACCTTGACAAATACATTTAGCAAATTACCAGTATTACTTTCGAGTGTTGTGCTATTTACGTAACCTAGTATTTTGATTGTAATAAAAGTAATGAAAAGTACAATTCTTTTAATATATATATATAGGAGGTTAAAACATTTTTTTATTTTAATAATTATGAGATAATTACTTGCATACTTTTATTATATTTGCATATTTTTTAATACAGCTGTTTATGTATTATGAAAAATTAAATTTAAAATTAAATTGATATACTGGTAGTTATTAATAGATTTTAGGTTCCGATAAATAAATTGTACATTTTAATTTCTATTAATGATTTTAATAATTGAGATAATATATCACTTATTACTACATATGTAGTAAAAAATATATAGTATATTATCGATTAGCCTAAAATTATTGAGTGCTTGCATATATATATAATAGAATTTATATAACATATATATATATAATAAAATTTGTAAAATTTCTTATAAAAACTTACTCTCTTGTAGAGAGATTACTTAGTTTTTAGTTATAATAATTTAGAATTATAATTAGAATAAGATAAAAATTTTTTTTACACATACGTATATACAATATATGAAACACAATATATACTTTTCTTTTTACTGCAGCAAAATTGCATTCTTTCAGCATAAATTTTACTAACTTGCACTCGGGTTCTGTTTGTATGTAATACAACATGTGACTTCAACGTTCGGAGTTTCGCCCACGCCGTAAGTAAAGTGGATAATCAGGGCAAAAGTAGAGGAGAAAAGGTAGACATCGGACTCGCCTTCTTTTTCCTGTTCATTCGCCTGATATTCCCGTTATTTCACGGAATTGTGGGAAATTGGGTACTGAGCCAAGCTAATTAAACACACCGTCCTTTTGTTTTCAAGGCGTGCCAATGTATGAGTCAACACACACGCGAAATCTCGACTAATCCTACGATACGACGGAAGTGAAAGAATTTATTGCGAAAGTTAGCTGTCGATGATTGAAAGTCAAAAGTTGATTATATCGTTCTGTATATGTAAAAAAAAATAAGTTGTTATAAACATTTTCAAAAGTCAATTTAATACAAGCAGTTCCTTCTTTATTACTGTTGATAAATCAATGAGATAATCGTAAATCATTTTATGTTATTAAATTACACACACAAAAAAGTTTTTACAGATGTTTACAATTTCTAATAATTGCTCTGACGGTTCTAAACTTCAAATTTGAAACTGTATCTAAATCTAGTTTTGATGATATTATGTTATAAGAGGAAAGAGAGCAGAATATGATTTATATTATCTTATCATTTATAAGTTGTACAATATAAAAATTTTTATTTGACTTTTAATAAATCTATATGGGGAATTCTGTTAATTTATATTTAATTGAAGAAATATATATGTTAAATAATGAATAATCGATGAGCAATTGATTCGACAAAATAATGAATAATAATGAAATCTGCTCACGTCCCAGTTAATAGTTGACACCGATCGATCTAACGACAGCATCGATCTTTCATAGTTTAAACAGGAAACGACATATATATATATATATTCAAGAGGACACAATAACTGGATATGACTCAACGACAATTGAAAGAAACTAGCAAGAGAAGGTGCAGTTAAGGGAAGTGTTTGGAGAGTACACAGGAGAGAGAAAAAAATGATGCACATGACATGTGGGAAATGCAAGTAACCACCACTTTACCGCGAGATATAATCTCGGTCATTAACCTAACTTGTGCGGAAGAAGTAGCATATGTATTATTAAAATAAAATGCAAAATCGAGTAATGATGACGGGAATTTTTCTTTGCGTATATTTCGTGAAAAAAGTTACTTCTTAGATTTAAGAAAGATAACTCATTCTTAAAGAGTTATTGTATTTAAGAAATTATATATATCATGTTGTTAAATCGATAATAGTTACTGATAAAAAATTATCAAAATATTCAAATCTGAATTTACTAGTAGATTGTTAAAGTTGATATATGAATATAGTCGGTGAAATTGTCGATATATTTTTAAATTACATAGAGACATAAAATATCTGTATTGGACTTGTTTCGCGCAATTCAATGTATTTTGCGCTATTTTATAAATTTGTCATTTCACGCAGCAATGTGTAAATCTGCAAGTAAATGGGTAAACGACTTTCTTCATGAGAGTGCACTGCGTCGGAGGGATACTAACGAGTTAACTATGTATATATCTTCTCGCGAACTTCTCTTATATGTTATTGCCGCGATGAAACCTCTTTGCCGGCCACTTTCCACACCGTGGAAAAACTAGCGGGGATCGTGGAAAATCGATTATATGCGTGCACACTGGAGATGAGAACCTGCGCTATGCGTTTCATTTACGAGATGCACATTTGTGCGTTTAATGGTGAGCACGCGCTTCTCAGGAGCGAGTCTAGTGGTGTCTCGTTAAAACGAAGGCGACATTGAAGAATTATCTCGTTTAACCAGATCGGAGATAGAAATTGTATTTACAGACGGATTACCTGTGGGATATAATTATGCGAAAACATAGCGCAAAGTTCTAGAGAAATAAATAGATTATTTATAAAAACGTTATTTGCATAAACTCTTAAAAGTTAACCAACGCTAATTGAAGACACTTTTCGGAGTTACCTGTCTGGAGTCAATCGTTGCTACCATTTAAATAATGCTTAATGCAAATCCAATTTATTGTCACGTGACGTAAAATTTTACATAACAGAAAAATCGGTATACGGTATCCTCTCACTAAAAATGCGCTCTAATACACATGCATTATACATTATGCGTTAATTGGCGGATAATCTTCGCTTATATTTTCAGATACTTCTCGTCTGCAAATTGCATATGTACTCATGTGTGCTTTGGTAATTTGTTATTAAGTTCTATAATACTGCGAGCGCGTGGGATGATCTTGACCCGAGTTGAATTGTCGAGAAAATAAAAGAGAAAGAAAAAGAGAAAAAGAAACTTTATCAAAGAGATACTTATTATAAAAAAAATATATCTATTAATATTATAATACATGTGTATTCATTATATTCATGAAATGACTTCTATATTATATGTTACATTAAATTTATGTAATTTTTACATGTTTCGAAAAATTTTTCTTTTTTTTATTACTGCAATAGAAAATATTATTATTATTATTATAAAGTAAGCAACTTTTTTTTCAAAAAACTTTTCTATTTTATGAGAAATCTATTTCTATTTATATAAATGCTACAAGTTATTAATATATAATTCGAAAGTTGGTGCTAATTTAGATGATCCTATAATTAACTTATAATGAGCACATTCGATTAGATGCCGCATTTATATACGTGTGTTTGATTAGTGGCAGTTTTATTGCAGGTTCTGCAAAATAGAGTGTTTCAATGATACGTAAAGTAGAGAATGTCGTTACGAACTGTAAGCATTGTCTCATAATCAGTCAACTCATTAAATTTCTTAGCGTTTAGAAAGCAACAAGTGAATGGGATGTAATAATGATTATAATAATCTTCAGTGTATTAATGAGGCATTATATTTTCCACGGGAGATTAATTCATCTTTGCACAAAATGCCTATCTGCCATATTATAGTTCTCTAAGAAAATATCTAATTACATTTTCTTGTAAAATTCATAAATTATTATACAAAAACTCAATTAGCGACAATTATATAAAAATAATTAAATTTATATCTTTGCTCTTTTTATTATTAATTTTGATTAATTTTATATAGTGTTTTAGACTATATATAAAAATTCATTTATTTAGATATCATTAATATGTATAATTATTATGCGCGTAATTATTATATATATATATATATATATATATATATATATATATATATATACGTAAATATAAATTATCGCGTGTAGATCTGTAACTTAATAAATTCAATTATAAATATATAATTTAGCAATCAGCAAAATGTAATATATACACATATAATTTGTACATATTTTTATTTATCTTAGAAAACAAAATCTTGAATATTTAAGAATATATCTTTTGGTAGTCATTATTTTTAGAAATTTTTATGTGATAATTTTTATTTAATATATGTATATTTAATTGGATAAAATTAGAGCTGAAGAAGAAATTTACGTACTTTTGCAAATCAGTGCGACGAAAAGGAAGCAAAGTGCCGCGCGTTCCATTTCCTTAGCGCGAGGGCCAGCTTCCGCGTGGAACTTTAATCTGTAACTTGTATGTCTTCTCGTTCCGAAAAATTGAAGAGGCAGCTATTTCGGCGCAATTCCGTGATGGAACAGTAATTAATACGCCTGTAACAATCGCACTTTATCGGTTCCGTAAGAGAAGTTCACCGAACGCACTTGGAGAAAGACATCATTTTGGGGTGCGGGCGACCCTCTTTATTTTTTCTCCCGAACATTAACGCTTTGCTCAAAGCGCGAGTTTAAGAAAATCACGTGCGAATCTCCCAAGTCTTTCGGGTGTCTTCGAACAGAGTTAAAATAACGTGCAAGTCCAGCTCTCTCGTGCTGCGACTCACGAGACTCGTATCGATGCACCGATGTCGAACGTTCTTTCCTGAAGACTGAGGTGCTTACTCTCTGGCAGGAAGTCGTCCAGGTGCTCTGTTCCCCTCCACCTGCTGTTCCTTGCTACCACCACCTTAGCAAGTAACGACTTGTACCGGTTGCCATCAGGAACGAGGCTGGCTTGTGCGACTGACTGACTGTTCATCCTCCCTTCTTTTTACTCATCCGCCTCTCCTCTGGTATTCAGGCCAACGTGCGTGCTGACACGTCACTGAATAGTGAGAACATGATATCCTTTTCCCGTAGGATGATTGGATTAGCTATTTCATCGAAAAACATATTTTTCACCAATTTTTCCGAAGGGAAACAGATCCTAATTTGAAGGAATATGATACAAATAAAATATTTCGACGTAGTTATACGGAAAGTTTAAGGAAAGAGATTATATGATTTCTGAATAATATAAGCGGAAGATTGCATTATCTCATTTTTAAAAATTATTTAATTTATAATTCTAAGAAAATATATTGTTATGCATATTTGCTTATATTTTAATATTATTTAATTTAGAATTATTATATCATTTAATTTCTTTAAAAATACTTTTAATTATTAATTATTAGCGTTATTAATGATTGATTTTAAAATTATAAATTATTACTTTTAAACGATCGAGCCGCAATTAACCCTAATTAATATACATATACCGATAGATATAATTCATTAGATTTGATTGTTCGTGTAATTATATACGTTTATGGAAATCGTAAGAAAGTGTTGGGGTAATTTTGCAGCAAATGACGAAAGAATATTACATGCAGCTTATGTGCATCGCGTAACATGTTGTTATTATGGTAAAATGTCGAAAACATTTAATGCGAGTTGAACTCAAGTTTTACATAAAATGTAATTCTGAGAATTACATATATGTAAATTTCTCCAATTCACGCTTTTACATAATTCTTGACGTTTCTATTCTGCGCAATTAATTGATAATCATCAACCTATAATTGTCATGTAGGATATAATTGTAAATTCACAGAGCAAAGCACATCCCTCGACATGGAACTATAAAAATGGAAACAAGGCGTCTTAAAGAAAATAACAGATATATAGAGTTCCCGCAAGCATACGCAATTATGAAAATTCGTGGAAATTCTATGACAATTTGTAACAATGTACTAGCGATTAAGAACAATATATGTATAATTTTGCGGAAAGTATAAGTGGGACCATAATTTGTACATACATACACATCGTATCTAAATAGTTTCTTTTTCGTAACTTGGAATTAAATTAATAGTAAGAAAGATATTTCTTGCAAAATACAAGACGTAACAGAATAACAATTTCTACATATCAAAACTTATGTGAAAATTATATAAAATATTTACTTGTGAATTGTTCATTCTTAATCTCCAGTGTTTTTAACTTTATTCTTAAAAAGAAAAACATTCTTTTCTAATTATATACTCGAATTATATATTTTATAATTATATATATACTTTTTACTAGGTGTGACGTGTTATTATTTTTTATTTTTCTTCCGGTTAGAAAGAATCTAGAATGTCTGCGTTTAAGAAAGAAGGACTAGGAAGATGAGCACCCAACCGCGTCACCCTAAACCAGCTCGCCTAGCCCTCGATGCTTCCTTGTTCCTTGTACTGAGTTAATTATGGTTTCTTGATGCTAACAATGAAGAGCATCCATAATTGTATCTTTATAGAGCGCCTCATACGTGCTGATTAACGCAACCATGAAATTTAATAGTCCATGCGTGTATCAGAAGTATTTCATGTACTTGGCATTCAAGCTGTTTTATAATTCGCGATTTTAAAAAAATAGAAAAAATATCTTCAAGACAGATTAATTCATATTATATATACATATAAAATATTATCTATAATTTTTTATACTACATAAGAGATATTCTTAATTCAAAGATGTCTCTTTTGGAAACGCTAATGCGAAGATCGAGTGAAAAAATGTTCAAAATTCAAGATTTTATTAGATTTGCATAGAATATGTTTTATTTTTATGTAACCTTTTTTCTCAAAATGCCAACGGAGAGATTGACGTACAAAGAACTACATAACCGGGTTCTTATACATTCAAGTGCATACATATGGTTCGTCTGTCGCATTCCATGTCAATCGATCAAGAAGAGGTCGCGATTGATAATTCAATTAGAAATAAAATGCGTGAACATGCGAGCAGAATTGCGTACGTATACGCATATCATGCAGCATTCATGACTGCGCTTTAAGACATGCCGCATCGAAGCAATCGTGCATGATTTTCGATTATCGAGTATAATTCTTGTTTACTCGATCCTATTTTGCGATGGAACGGATACTCGATTGCTCAGTCGTAAAATGAAGATCAAAACGTGTACTCGATGCAGAGAACGCAAAGTACATACATGAAGAAGCAGATCTCCGCGATGTAAATAAACGTGATGTCAAATTACGCATTAAAATTTCTCTGAACCAAGAGATACAGCAAATGTTTAATTTAAATGTTTAATATAATTGAGTCAGTGTTAAATCTATATTTATTTTTGTGAAAAAATGAAGAAATGTAATCATTGTCAAAAATAATTATGTACGTACATAATTACGGAAAGGTCTATAGAGGAAGTAGCCATTGACTGGTTTTATATTATTTTAATATTCTTCTTTTGATTATACTAAATTGATATTGATAAACTAAAATCTAAAAATTAAAAATTGAAATATTTAATTATATTTTTCATTATTTAAGTGCATAATGTACGCACAATTTCGTATAAAATCGACAATCCATTGAACAGTATCCAATTATTTCTACGACAAGTGATATAAAATATTATAAAATTAACACTATTCAATCTGTCATTTTTTTCTAATTCATTTAAACTCTAATATAAATCGTGGTAATTCGCTTAAGACTAATTGCAATCGCTTTTTTAATCACAGAATTAAGTACCATACAAGACAAGGAATTGTTCCTGCAATCGCTTTTACAAAGCGCAATTATAAGATCGTTACATTGAGTTGGAGTAGCGAGGAGACGAAATTAGTTAAAAGACGAAAATTTGGTGCGACAAAAGCTAGCAGTGTGTGTCGCTTCACGAATCGCCTCGAACCGAGTCACTTGTTAGTAACGCCGGCTTCCTGACCCACATACCGCGACCGCCATACAACAAACGTAACACTTTGTAGCCGCGTGTGCATTCACGAATGCACACATATACGCCGATACACACCTGTATTAAGTATATATACATGCACAAACACATCTCGCGAGTATCCCATTATCGTATACGATCAGGTTTTCGTTTAGGTTCAGGTTCCTCATGATTCAGACACAGGAGTCGACGATCTTTAAATTGTCTGAATGAATATGCTAAATTATGCATTTATCAATTTTACTTCAAGAGTTATTCTCGATTTTCATGAAATAATCATTAAATGGCAATACGTATAGTAATCGCATATAGAATTTGAAAGAACTTTACATTTTTTCTATAAATTTGTTGTCAAATGTCATTATGTGAATTCGATTGTGTATATTATGCAATATGCAATTATGCGAATTTAAAGAATGAGTTCAGAAATCCAAAATGAATAACTATCAGAGAAGGGAGGTAAAATTAAATTATATTATTTACTGCATAATTATTATTTATTTGAATTGCTTGTGCTTTTTATGCATAGTATATGTTTTAGCGTTTATACATGAATAAAAAATTAATTAATATTTCAAAAACAACTAACGAGAGAGATATATAACTCCACGCGAGTATCTTACAATAATTATCTGCTACAGAGATTTGCACAAAATAGTAAATTATGCGTGAATTATCTTGCGGTACTTTTCCGTAATTTTGTGCGAGAAGTTTTCTTTTGTCAGTTTACACATTTCGTATGTATGTACAACATAGCAGTTTCTTGGAAATAATGGAAATTACATTATTCTTCTTAGAACATTGTTGTTAAATATTGTACTTTCTGCATTAAGATTTATAATTCTCAAATAATTTCTCTGTTTTATGAATAAAAAGAAATAAAGAAAAAAAGTATAATTAAATTAGTTATAAGCTTTAAATCGCCGCTGATTTTTAGTCCCTTTTTCACAGATTATATTAATTGATCTTATCGTTTGATCTTTTATAATTTTGCAAAACGAGTCAAGTATAGTTTTATCCTTAATCTTCCAGCGGAACGATGTATAGTAAGATTGCCATATAAGGAATTTCTTCTGCCATCTAATCTAGATCTTAACTGCTAAACAGGAACTATAAATTTTTCTTTCTTGCTTTTCACTCTTATACATCGATTATCAAAATGACTCGCAAATGACTTGCAACTGAATTCCGCGAGTCTCTACTGCGTCATCATCACTGCGGGCGTTATTAAACTTTCGAAATTCGCTGAATAATTATCAGGTTTCGAACGCGTATAAAGACGAGGTCGTCGACCGGCATGCTCTAATCAGGTGGGATCCAATAAGAGCCTCTCCGTTAGTCGTATATCGCAAACCTGGCCATAATCGTTCTTCATTTCGTGCATACGAATTGATCGAAGAGTCGGTGTCCTCAAATTTCCGGGTTATCGAACAGCAACTTTGTAAGCGTGTTTCCGTGTTTCGAACTCTCTGATTTCTCTTCCCCGCGATGACAAAAATAAGTTTAATTCGTATTTTAATTATTCATTCTTTTTTCTCTCACGATTACCTTTTATTTATGCTTTAAATAAAGAAAATTAAATATTTAAATTTAATACTGCACTTATATCGTTTCATTACTGCCGCAACACAAACATATTACATTACTTATATATACATATCAGCCGTATTAATCTTTGTTTCGTTATTTTAGATATATAATTAACGTATTTATTAATCATTTATGGAAACGGATGATAGCGTTGTTTTGTAAGAATCTAGAATAAACCAGTAATTATAAACTCGGCAAAATTGTTTGCAAGCGAGTCAGGAATGTCGAAGAAATCTTCAGCATGCTGGATTTGTGAAAGATTCAATTTTGCCGTAAAGTTAAAGGACGTAGATTTATGATTGCAACACGACTTTAATGTACTTTTTTTTTCTCAGAGCGCACACGTGTGCACATTGTTAGTACACTTAAATTGTTCTTTGCGTGCG